GCAGCGGGGGCCTGAGCCTGAGCGCAGGGGCAAGACCCCCCAGCCAGGACCCTGCGGGGCTGGTCCTAGCAGGAGCATGGGCACAGTCTGGTCCCATCCCCAGCCTGGGCTGCAGCAGCAACAGCGCCTCGGGGGGAGGCTTAAAAACACCTTGACACCTTGACACCAGCATCGCTGTGCCTAGGTTATCGCTAGACTGGGGATGGGGCTGGGCTGTGCCAATGCTCCTGCTGGCACCAACCCTGCAGGGTCCTGCCTAGAGGGTCTTGCCCGTGTGCTCAGGGTCAGACAGATGCTGCACTGGGGCAGGAAGGGATTTCCTGCTGGTCAGACTGGTCCAGACCTGGGGGGTTTCCCCTTCCTCTGCAACAGGGACAGGGCCTTGGCCTGGGAGTCTCTCATAGTTGATAGTTACAGTTTCATAGTAGGTAGGGTCAGAAGGGACCTGAGCAGATCATCAAGTCCAACCCCCTGCCCTGGGCAGGAAAGAAAGGATTCTGGGGTCAAATGACCCCGGCTAGGTGATTATCCAGCCTCCTTTTGAAGACCCCCAGGGTAGGAGTGAGCACCACTTCCCTTGGAAGTTGGTTCCAGATCCTAGCCGCCCTGACAGTGAAGTAGCGCCTCCTGATATCTAGTCTGAATCTACTCTCAGTCAGCTTATGGCCGTTATTCCTCATTACTCCCAGCGGTGCTCGGGGGAACAGGGACTCCCCCGGTGCCTGCTGGTCCCCCTTGGCCAGTTTATAGATGGCCACCAGATCCCCTCTCAGCCTTGTCTTGTGGAGGCTGAACAGGTTCAGGCCCTTTAGCCTCTCCTCGTAGGGCCTGCCCTGCTGCCCTGACCATATGAGTGGCCTCCTCTGGACCCTCTCCATGCTGTCCACATCCCTCCTGAAGTGCGGCGCCCAGACCTGGACGCAGTACTCCAGCTGCGGCCTGGCCAGCGTCGCATAGAGGAGGAGGATCACCTCCTTGGCTCTACTCGAGATGCACCTGTGGATGCACGACAAGGTCCTGTTAGCCCTGTCAACTGTGACCTTGCATTATGCTCAGTACCTTGCACCTGCCAGTGTTGAACCCCATCCTGTTCTTATCCACCCACCCACGTAACCTGTCTAGGCCCGATTGCAGCCTATTCCTCCCTTCTGGCATGCCCACTTCTCCCCACATCTTAGTATCATCTGCGAATTTGAACAGGGTGCTTTTCATCCCCTCGTCCAAGTCGCTGATGAAGATGTTGAACAGCACAGGCCCGAGGACCGAGCCCTGGGGGACCCCACTGCCCACGTCCCTCCAGGTCGAATAAGACCCATCCACCGCCACTTTCTGGGTGCGGCCCTCCAGCCAATTTGTGACCCATCTGACTGTGTAGGCATCAACACCACAGTTGCCTAATTTCTTAATGAGAAAGGGGTGAGAGTGCACTGAACCCCCTGATAGCAGCAGGACCCTGACCCTTGTCACCCAGTATCACCCAAGAAAGGGCCGGGGGCTCTTAGTGTCTGTGGGGAATGGGCCTGGTCATTGCACCCGGGTTGCAGGTGTTGCCAGGACCAGGCCAGACCTGGATGTGTCTGGAAGGTTTAGGAAGGGGCTGATCCTGCCTGGAGCAGGGGCTGGGCCTGGTGTGACCCGCAGGGCCCAGCTGTGCTGTGACACTGAGGGATGGGCTGGGGGACGGGGGGACTTCCCTGGGCCCTGGCCGACCGCTGTCCATGCCGCAGGGAGCCGTGGGGGAGGCGCTGATGTCCTTCCAGGCAGAGCCGCTGGCTGTGCCCCCGGCCGTGCTGCAGCGCTTCCCCTCACTGGTGCAGCTGGGCACTGCGCCACGTGCACTGGACCCCGGCGCTGCCCGCAGCCTGGCCATCGCCCTGCTCAGTGCCCTCCGTGCCAATGGTGAGTCCTGACCCCGGGGTGTGGGACGCAGCATGCCCCGCACAGGGACGGGGGCAGAGGGGCCTGGGCCAGGGCTGGAGAGGGGGGCCATGCCCAGGTGTGGGGCTGGGGTTGGGCAGGGCTCACAGCCACAGGGCACCTCTCCAGAAGACAGCCTGTGCCCATGGTCAAGGAGCATGGGGCAGGGGAGGCCAGACCAGGCTGGGGCCAGGGGCACCTTGTTATCCGGCCCCGCCACCTGCAGTGCAGCGCCTGGCTCGGCTCTGGCCTGCGCTCTGACCAGCAGGGCTGCACGGAGCCCAGGACCAGGGTCCCGCACCCTGCCCAGCCCAGCCCAACCGGGTCCAGCCTGGCCTGTGACCGTGTGACCCACAGTGACCATGATGCCTTCCTTCCCCGCAGGGTCCCGGGGCGTGTTCTGCGAGGTGAGCGCCGCGCACCACCACCAGCTGCATTTCTACGGGAAGCTCGGCTTTGTGACGCTGCCCGGCGGGCGGGCCCATGGCCCTCGCACCCAGCTCCTGGGCCGGCTCCTCTGAGCACGTGGCCGTGGCCCCGAGCCAGGCACAGTGTGGATGCAGGCAGGGCAGAGGGCAGCACGGCAGTGACACAGGCCCCAAGGGGACGAGCAGGCCAGGTGCAAGCCCTCAGGCGATAGGCCCCACAGGCTTCCCCTGTCTGGACAGGGTGGCGGGGATACCCTGGCCCCAGCCCCAGCCCCAGCCCTGCTGGCCCTGTGGCAGGAGCAGAGGGTCTTGGTGACAGGGTGCTCGCCCTGCCGCAGGCTCTGCAGGAGCTCCCACGTGATGTGCACGGGAAGGACAGGGCCTGGGGCTTGCTGCCCACGCGGCATGGCCTGTGGCTGTGAGGAAGGAGACGTGTGCCCTGGGGATGGTGCTGCTTCAGCCACAATAAAGGACATGTCCAGGTCTTGGCTCAGTCTCTTTTTTGCAGCACGGTGGATGAAACTGCCATCGGCCCCTTGCTGCTTCTGGGGATGCTGATGTCCCCTGCACCAGGAGAGGGTCAAGCTGCCCTGGTCCCCGGTCACCTCCAATGGAGCAGCCCGTCAGGGCTCTGCAGGCCCCCAACTCCCCCCCCAGCCCTGCCGGCGCCCCTCGCTCGCGA